ATAACTTCAGATAAATGAGTTTCCTGTGGTTAGAATTTTTAAATTTTTCAAAATTTCTTTGAGAAACGACTTCAAAAGCATATCTATCGAGATACACGAAGCAGAACATGACGTTGTTCTCGCGTACCAAGCGACTATCTGATTTGTGGCGTTTGACATTTTTTCGTAAGTCCGCGTTTGAAAAATCGAAGGATTGTCAATCGCGAAACGTGCCGGAGACGTGCTCTTCCTCGACGATAGACGAAAATGATGATCCTTGCCCACCGTGTCCTTCATTCAGGGAGGATTCGCCATCTCCTTGTCCGAAGCAACCAACGTGGCCTTGCCCGGGTAACGTTGGAAATTTTCACATACTTGGAATATTTCGAACTTTTCTACATATTTCGAACTTTTGCGATAAATTTTTATATTCTTGAAATATCGTGAATCTGATGGTGCCCCAAGATTTAGATGCAGTGAGATTAGAATTGCGAATGATAATTTAATATCAAAATGGAAAATAAAGATAGAAGATAAAGATAGAATTATATGTACACAGAAGGAAGTAGAATTATATGCATCATCTGAAAGAGAGAAAAGAGAAAATTTTAGATTTATTGCAAAGAAATTGCTTTTTAAATTATTTATTATACATATATAAAAACACAAAAGATAATATCGATAAAATTGTTTTTTCTTTGAAACATCATGTGTGATGCGAAATTATTTATTAAACTTTAAACGAAAATCAAATTTAATTAATCATCTTATTACTTATTTATTTATTATTTTTTCTATATTATATTCCTATAGTTTCAAACAAATTTTTAATATTCATATATTGTGAAATTTAAAATATATGTAAATAACATACAATGAATTTTAATAATAATAATTTAAAACTAATTAAATTTGTTTAGCACATTCTTTATATTTAATTATCTCATGTCTAAATAATCAATAAAATGCAATGGATAATATATGAATTCAATTATGACAAATGCAGTTTAACTTTCGCCAGTGCAGTTTAATTGTTAATCGCTTATGCAATAAACAATACCGATTGTGAATTATAGATCCGCGCAAGCTCGTTTTTTGGCGAATGCTGTCTCTCTTCATTGCGTTGCCTTTAATAGTGATTATGTCGGCGATTACTTATACACGAGAGAAAGAGAAGGCGAAACAACCAAGAGAACCATTTCTGGATCTCCCATACATGTGTCGTCGGACTAAGGTTCTGTTCAATATTATTTATTAACACTATCCATAGAAACGGAACTTGAGAAAAATCTTGTAATTATTGTTGCAAACATCAGAATTCACATAAATATTGTATTGTTTTCTAAATTAATCCGCAGTCGATTTTACGAATGAGAATTTAGTTGTTGGAAAATAATGACGGTAGATATTTTCATAAATTTATCAAATTCTCTATCATGTTTAGGTCATTTATTTTTCTGCGTTATTTATAAAAATTATATTACAGATCACATTCATCAAGGGATGATTTATTATTTCTCTTCAATAGCTAATTTATTATTTCTCTCTTGCTTAACTTTTGACGAAATAGATAAAAATTTAAATTAAAATTTAGATTTTGTAAGAAACTTAAATTCTCGCATTATAAATTTCTCGACGTAATTTTTTTATTTACTCATTCATGTTTATGCATTGTAGTAGTTTATTACACGCTTTCAACAGCTAGACCTATTTTCTTGTTGTCTCTGTTATCGATTAAAGAAGACCCATGATTTCATTGACTTACTCTAATTCCTTCATACATTTTAAATTTTATAAATTATTTTACTTCTACTGTACGAATATTTCGTGAAATTTTCAAACAAGAAAACGACAGAGAAACAAGTAGTATGATCTTTCACTTCTAAAGATATAAATAGATCCATTTTTCTCAACTCCATTAATTTTTTATAACAAGCTTATGTACTTCTATCCTTGTGACTTCTTAATATTTTAAAAATTAATTTATGTATCTGAAAAATTAATTTATCCTCTCGGAAAATCAGGAAATTATTATCGATTGTCATCCAAAAGTTTACGCAGTAGATAATAAATTTAGTTTAATGTACAAAATATAATTTTACCCTCAAATATTTGATTCGCAAATATTAGATCGGTATAGTTTAGAAATTTGCATTCATTTTTATTTTTATTTCTTTTTCATTTTTCTCAACAGCCATTTCCTTGGGGCGATGGCAATCACACGCTTTTTCATAATCCCGTAAAAAATCCAGTGCCACCGCATGGTTATGAAGTCGAGGATCCGAATGAAATGCCTTACAAGAAAACGGGCAATTAGTCGAAATGATCCTACATGATCCTGCCAGTGACAGCTGGAAATAGGGAGGAGAGGAATATGATGACTTGTCTGTTCGACATATGATAGTCAATTTAATTTTTAATTAATCTTCGTTATCTATAAGAGAAAGAAAAAAAGAAAGAAGATAGAAAGATTATATGAAATATTAAAGCTTAAAGATTATGTGAAATATTAAATCTGCATATAAACATGTCTCTCATTTGAATAAAACCGTAGTTAGATATTATTTTTCAGTATATAATTCAAAATTGTTTATTTATTTGAAATTATTATAAAAAGTAGTTGCTTGAAACTTTGCTACATAAAAAAGATCTCTGAAAACATGTTATTTATCTGAATATTATTGCTTTCTCTGTTATATTCGTATAAATCATTTTTCCGAATACTTTTTCTAAATGAATAAATTATTAGACGACAATCTCTCGATTTTTAAAGTTTCGAAAGATATAGGGTGTCAGGGCAATTTCTTCCTAAAAAAAGCTCTTGTAGCTTACCTCGGGAGCTTTTTAAAACATTAATAAGGTATTTTTTCATCGAGTACTTTTCGAGTTATGAGACTTGAAATAATTTCTTAATTTTTGCATAAACCATAAAATATCTAATAAAATGTTCATTTTTCGATTATCTTTAATACTTTTATGTACAAAATAATGAGAGGAATCAATTGGTGTAAAGAAAACACATAATTGTTTTGAAGAAAAAATATGAAATTGTTAATTACAAATTAAGAGATTAAAATTAAGAGATTATTTCAAGCCTTATAACTCGAAAAGTACTCAATAAAAGAATATTTTATTATAGTGTTTTGAAAAGCTCTCTCGAGGTAAGCTACAAGAGCTTTTTTGGGGAAGAGACTGCCCTGTCACCGTGTAACGTGCGAAAAAAAGTCGTTCGGAAAAATCACAGAGGAACGTAATCTCGAAATGAGGTACATTTCGCGAGATATATTTTCGAGATATATACATATCTGAAATGAGAGAAAACGAGCGGCGACACAGACGTTCTCGAAAGGGTAAAGTGGAGACGATCGTGCGCGCCGTTTTCGATCTCGCCTCCTCGCGCGGAGGGGGGAGGTTATTAGCTGACTGGAGGGAGAAGATCGCGAGTGGGACGCAGCTGGTCTCGCGCCTTCTTGGTTGTTCAGGGACGATCAATAGACCGGGAGAGGCGGAGGAGGCGACCGCGACGGTGTGTCCGGGCAGTGGCGAGTTAAACCACCCCGGCGTCACATTTCTATTATCTAACAACTAATCTCCGGTATCGCGTCTCTATTATCTATAGGAACGATCCCCTCCCCCGATTTTGCGTGTCGGATACAGAGTTCGCGGCAGGAATTGCTGTCTCGTCCAAATCTCCTCACGATTCGTTATTTGGAAGATGCGCGGACGAAATCACATGTATGATCGTATTTTTGTTTATATCTTTTATCGTGAGTCGTGACAACTGCTAGACTTATTCTTTTTAACATAGTCGTGCCATCGTAGAGAATTATTGAGGATTTTCTACAAAGATTTTCTTATATTTATCATACAATCTTTCTTTTTATTTGATATTTATATCTACATTTGTGTATTTTTCTCGTTTTTTTCTCATTATTTTTACTAATGAATTTTATATATAAATTTATATTTAAATTTTTTATTCGAAACCATACAATATATGACATTTCTCGAGGCATACAATAAACAATTCTTAAATCTTTTAATGATTGATAAAACTAAGGAATTTTTTTCTTTTGCTAGCTGTCAAAAATTTATATTTAAATTTTTTATTCGAAATCATACAATTATATGACATTTCTCGAGGCATACAATAAACAATTCTTAAATCTTTTAATGATTGATAAAACTAAGGAATTTTTTTCTTTTGTTAGCTGTCAAAAATTTATATTTAAATTTTTTATTCGAAATTATATGACATTTCTCGAGGCAATAAACAATTCTTAAATCTTTTAATGATTGATAAAACTAAGGAATTTTCCTCTTTTCCTACCTGTCAAAAATTTATATTTAAATTTTTTATTCGAACTCATACAATTGTATGACATTTCTCGAGGCATACAATAAACAATTCTTAAATCTTTTAATGATTGATAAAACTAAGGAATTTTCCTTTTTTCCTAGCTGTCAAAAATTCCATGTATGTAACTCGTCATACACCCTCGTAGAGTATGCTCGTGAAATAACACATGTCGGTTGATCGGCGTCGTTTAATTTACGGCCCTGTCCGCGTGAGCTCGTCGCGGGGATACTACGAGCTCCTCCGATTGGTCGGCGACGATTTCGCGGGTTCGACGAGTCGCGCCGCGCGACGTGATCGCGCCTCCAATCGAGCAACCTCCGTCGAGTCAGTTGGTGGCAGCGCGTCGCCGTGTTCGTGTGCGTGTCTCTCGAGGTGTTACCTCTCACCTCGTCATCGACGTGTCGCTAATAATCGCGATCTCGCCATGTCTCCATTGTAACATCATTCGTGTATTCGATGTTGTTTTTGTCTTCTTTCCTATATCAATAATTTATAAATTAAATTTAGAAACCTCTCCGTCTTTCTCTCTCTTTCGAGAAAGTGACATTCGACGTGTTCTTTTTTCGTTAATCGGATCGAGGGGAATCTGCAATGTAAAAAAAGCGCCGAATAATTTAACGAAAAATTGCGATATTATTTTTATCTTGCGTATCTTTTTTAAATTTAAAAATTTCTAATATTAGGAGACTTCGGTAAATACTTGAGTTTTATGTTGTTACGATATCGGTTTTCTCGGCTTTGAAAAAGGAACAGCTTTGCAACAAGCATCGTAAGACAACAGCATACATTTCTCTTTATTGTCCATTTAAGCAACTCTTCTTTGACAAAAGGAGCAGAGAGTTTGATTGATGGAAGTTGTATTATTTACTGTGTTATCGAGTTTGATAAATAATGTTTAAAATCATGTACAGAGATTTTCCTTTGCGCGAAAACAACGGACGGAGCAAACTTAAGTATTGATTGAAGGATTAATTATTGTTCAGTGAGCGTGATTGAAAGTTTTCGCGAGGAAAATATGCGTATTTTCGCACAATTTTTATCAAGCAAGAATATCGCATCTAATCGGAAAAGAGAGATTCAACAGGAGACTTGAAAATATTTCTTCCGGAAACTACGTCGCATATTAAATGGTATGTTTGACATTTTATCATTCATACTATTTCCGATTATCTGTATTAAATAAGAATGTATATATCTGTGCGATTTGTAAATTAAATTCCCGGATGTATGCATAAAAGCGGATTTTATTCAATCATCAGTCATTAATTTCCTTGGCTCCACGTAAAGTTTAGGTTTGCTCGAGGTTGATGTGCGTATAAATAAACATTTCACTCGTTGCGCTTCTTGTTTCTATCTACACGTTTCGCGCTTAAACGAATAATGTCGACAATTATTATGGAATGATATTTTTTTCATGTAATAATCTCTCATAGAAATATGAAAATATTAAAAATGGAGTTTTACTAATCTGTGTGATTGTAGATGATATAGATATCGATTTCCTTTCTCTTACGCATAATATTTTTTTTTGTTCAATATTATATATATATAAAATTTTTGTTACTTTTTCATTTTGCTATCAATTGTGCATTTATATATCTCGAGATGCATCTTGACATTGTTTACCAATATTGATAAATATTCCAATTATTTGTGGGAAATAAATTTAAATCCTTCATATTCTTCAATTATTTATATATATATATATTTTTTTTTTCGAACTGTTAATGGCTACTTTTAACTATGACATAAACACCGAAGTATTTCCGGCATGGCAAGCATCGAGAAGGATGCGATATAGCAATTCGCTCAGAAGAGCATAGTTTGTGATACAATGGACGTGGCTTGTATGCCACGATGGGTATTTCATAAATACACAGCGATTGCTATCGTAGAATCTAATTTATTGATTAAAAGTATTTACTGTAATAATGAAACTTTTCTCTTTACTATGTTTCTATAATATTATTGATTTATAAATTTTTGTACGATTAATAATGAAAGAATTAGCTAATAAAATATTAAATACAAATTGTGTAAATGTTAAATATAAAAATCAATTAAGAGATATTCGATTAAGAAAAGATGAAAAAATTGTTTCAATAACAATAATATTATAATTTCGCTTTTAATTGATAACATTAAGTGCTAACATTTTTATACGAAAATATGATAAGAGAAAAAAATTATTTTTTTATATCATGTTATATTTTCTTTATTTATTGAATTTTCGTTTTTCCGTTTTCGTTTTTTTTTTTCAAATACTACCACTTATTAAGATTTTATCAAGATCTTGTTCATTCAGAAAAGAGCAAGAAATCACACTATTATCTATATAACAAATGTATAACTTAATATTTTTGTATTTAAATCGTGATAATGAAAAGATATTTTTCTTTTTATTTTTACAGAAAATTTCACCTGCTAACATAAAATGGAGTCATCACTTGCGATTCCCATCGAGAAAAATCTCTCGAGATGTTACGAAGACGTCGAATGCGATTTCGGCGTCCGGTATCCTTGAAGGAGAGATGCACTTTGCGAAGATGCACGGGTGATAGAGGACAGGCTCCGATAAAATGTTGATCAAGGAGTATCGCATACCGCTACCTCTTACGGTAGAGGAGTATCGAATCGCTCAGCTGTATATGATAGCGGTAATTATCACATTAATATTTAATTACGAATAATAGTTTTGCGTTGATCTGTATTTAAAAAAAATTTAGAATTTAATCAATTTACGGGATCCACTTACATTTTTATAAATCTAGTAAAATCACTTGGATAATGATCTGAAGTAGATGAACTACAAAAAATCGCTAAAAATTTTCTTTTTAGTTAAGGTTATAAATTCCTTTTTTTTAATTTTCTAATTTACTATTTTTTACAAAATTTTCCTATCCAAAACACGGTTGATTTATGTAATTTATGATGAGGAAAAAGAAATCGAACAGTATTAGATATCAACTATATCAACAGATTGTTCTACGATTGGTTCTAACATGCGAGTTTTTTTAACGTCTCTCTCGTATATCATCTTTTCAATAATATTATTTTCATCTTGCAATTATATTCTGTACGTTTATTCTATTTTTTTATTCGCGTTTTTTTAGCGTGCAAGGAAAGGGTTTTTTTTTCTTCTAATAAAGATACAGATTTTTTTTACATGACCGAGGGGGCGATCGGATGAAAATGATCAGTATAACAGTTATATACGTTCGTATCACGCAGAAAAAATCGCGGGAGGAGAGCAAAGGTGCTGGCAGCGGCGTGGAGATAATCGAGAACGAGCCATATAAGAATGGTCCAGGCGGTGATGGCCAGTACACGCACAAGATCTATCACGTGGGCAGTCACCTACCGGGGTGGTTTAAGAGCTTGCTACCGAAGTCGGCGCTGATCGCCAAGGAAGAGGCATGGAACGCCTATCCCTATACTAAGACTCGCTACACGTGTCCGTTTGTAGAAAAGTTCTCCGTCGAGATAGAGACCTACTATTTCGCGGACAATGGTCATCAGGAGAATGTTTTCAATCTTAGCGGCAGTGATTACAGAAACAGGATTGTAGGTAAAGAAAAGATTAGATTAGATCGATCGACATTGTTAATTAAGTTTTATATCTAAACCTAAAAAATAGCGTTGCGATATTTTTCAATAATAAACATTTATTGCCAAATTCTTGGATGATTACCAAATAAATTATTATTTACATTTCTTATTTATTGGTACTAAAGTTTTCTGATCATTATAAATAAATATTTAACGTTATCTCTTAAGAAAGTTATGTGATGAATCATCAATTTTATTATTCTCAATTAAGTCCGCTGTTTATTTGTTCTGATAAGATTTGATCGACATCGTCAAGGATCAACCTTACGGAGCCGATTATGTGAAGGAAGAAGATCCTAAGTTGTACTTGTCGGAAAAGACAGGAAGAGGCCCACTGGAGGACACATGGCTGGTCGATTATTGGGCCGATGTGGAAGTATAAATCTCTCCTTTCTCTCTTACCTCTCTTTCTCTCTTTCTTTCATCTTTTTCAAAAAATTTACACCTTTCTCCGCTTATGTAGTCTCACCGTTGATACATTAGCGATTTTCTCGCCGTTTAGGGAAAGCAACAGCCAACGCCATCGGGCAAGTCACTAATGTGCGCGTACAAGCTATGCCGAGTAGAGTTCCGTTATTGGGGCATGCAAACGAAATTAGAAAAGTTCATACACGACGTAGGTTAGTACCGTAATATGCTCACCTCTCTGCCCTTTCTCGCTCTTTGGATGCCGGACAATATAAAATTTAAGTAGATTTTAATATAATTAATCTCCTATAAGAGGGAAATTATTTCTGCGCCAAGTCTTTCCCTCTCTCTCTCTCTCTCTCATACAATTTAGAAAGGATTATTTTCTAAAAAAATAGAATTATCTCGAAGATCGTATGTTCTCTACTCTTATTAATAAAAGAATTGAGAGAACTTTAACTTTATCAAATAAATATGTATTTTTCTTTGTAATATTAAATATTAAGTACAATTTCGTTCAATGTATATAAAATATTCAAAAAATCATGTATTTTGTGTTGCGAAGAACTATACATACATTAATTAAGAACTTTTGTACCGAAGCATCAATATAATTATACAAATATTATTTTTAGTTAATTTTGAGAATTATAATCGAATCATGATTTCAATTTTATATATAATTATAAATTCATATTTATTATATTTTATATATAATTTTTTATTGAATATTTTTAATATTACAAAGTGAAAAATTATAAAACGTAATAATATTATGCCACAATTTGCTATAAAAAATTGCAATCTCTGATACATTCTATACATTGTAATTTATATATTGATTCATTTTTCACTTTTTTATGAATAATAATGCAAATTAAATTTGGTCAATTTAACTTGAAAAATTCACGCAAAAAGTCCGGCAACTAAAGAATTAAATCTTTCGATCATGATTATTAAAGAATGTTTTTAAATTTAAAGCTTTAGAGTCAAATAAATTATTGTTTAAATATTCATTAAAAATAAGTCAATTATTAGAACTATATAATTTTATTCTTGATTGTCCATGTCTAATTTTTTAGAATTGTGATGTCATTACGATATTTTAATTTAAATAATTTAGATTTTAGATGAAAGCCAATCGGTCGGCTTAAACACATTCGAAAAAATAAAGATTAAGAAAATTTATTGGAATAATTTGACAATTTACTTTCTAATTAATATAATTCAAAACGAACTATTTATTTATTGATTTGCTATTACTCTCGGCTTTACGCACACCGAGAACGTTGCCTTCGAGAGCTCTCCCCGCAATACAGGAGGTCGTGATCGAAAGGGTTAATTTTAACCGGCGTATCCATGCGTTCGTGCGTGAGACGTATTAAGGTCGGTTCCAGCTCTGCGGAAGACGATGGTGCGGGCGCACAGACAAGCCTGGGCCTGGCAGGACGAGTGGAACGGTTTGACGATGGAGGATATCAGGGAGATTGAACGGCAGACGCAGCTGGCGTTGCAGCGCAAGATGGGACTCGGCGAATCGACGGAGCTCGAGGAGAACGAGAATCGAGAGAGAACGACTGCGACGACGACGATGACGACAACGACGACGACACCGGCTACTCCGGTGACGGCAAACGCCTCAATGACGTCGCCGGATTCAGATGTTGCCAAGACATTGGCGGCAACCCTGGGCAGCATTGAAAAGGAGGAGGCGCAGAGTCCACTATCCTTCAGGAAGCCATCCGACATTCCTATCATAAATACGGCGGCCAGCTCCGAAAACGAAATCAGTCCCGAAGACTCACCGGTTGACCTTAATGAGATCAAGTAAGATTATTCAATTAGCTTCGCATTTGTTTTACGATAAAATGTTGTTCTACGATCGCGTTAATATTTCGTTTCTGAAATAGTCATTTAACAAGTAAACTTAATAATGAATTTTTTTAGACAATTGTTTTTGGTTATTTTAAATAGTAGCAAATTCAGTAACAATATATAAAAACATATAGAATGTCTGATAATTAGCGGTACAGAGATGATTTTATATAGAAAAAAACAAGCAAAGGAATTTAAATAAAATTTTTCTTTGACTATTAAATGATTGGGTTTTTGAAAAAAATAATTTTGGTACAAATCTGTCTGATTATTATCTTTATAGTATTTTTTCTGCGTTTATTAACTAATAAGATATTCGTTACGTGTAATTTTAAAATTCGTGTATTTATATGATATTGATTATTTCATGTATCAAGCACTTATAATCGCCAGTTTTTCATTATTCTCTTGAAATGATATGATATAATTGCCAGAATTCACCAGTATACTTCTGTTATTAGTAGTATAAGATAATCAGCTCAGCTGCAGTAACTAAAGGGTGATTAATTTTTAATAACACAATGACATAAGTGATGGTTATTGTCATTTACGTGGATGTATGATGTTATTATATTATTAGAATTATAAATTAAGCCAAAATTAATTAAGAGTGAGTTACATTACAGAACTGCGACTAGCGATGCGAAGAGAGAGTGGAGAAAGAGTAACTTGCACTCGCCGAATTCAAACAAGAACTTTGACATTCAAATCGCAAATTGGAGGATGGAAAGCATCGTCAGAGAATCCGAATCCGGTAGCGATGACGAGTTCTTCGATTGTCAAGGTAAAACTATTATTCCGCGCGCGCATGCGTGTAGCATGCCTGTGATAATCTAGAAAGAGAAGCATTTGACACACGATTCATCATAAATGAATGATAGCCGAATAGTAATTTTGCGGCACACTGCTTTCCGTTGTAACAAGTTTTAATACATTTATACAAACAATTCTAAGACAATACAAAGAAGAGAGAAATATTATTCAAGAGATTTAAATTTTCACACACAGATATATTTCAAAGCAATCAAATATTTGAATATCAGGCGTCGATCCATGTTACATAATTATTTAATATAGAAAATAAGTAATAATTTTGAGAAAATTGTTACAAGGAGGAATATCGATTATAAATTCATCAAATGATTCATCATTTAAAGATTTCTTATAAATATGTGATATATATTAAATTATAATATAAATAACTCCTTTATATTGAAAAAATTTTTTACAATTTATGTTTGATATTTTAATGTGAAATAAATGGATTTTATGATATGTAATGCTTATTAATAATTCATATGAAAGAAGTGTGTTCTGCGAGATAATATATAGATAACTGAAACTAGACAGGACAGCATGTGCTGCGTTTTTATGTGTTATCCTCTTTGTTTTTTATGTCGCATCCCATACCGCAGCTGGGTTCATTATACCTGTTATACGCAAAGGTAGGATACGTAGAGCGATTAAGTAGTAAACGCGAGATAAATTGCGAAAGGACATCATTCCATATATTGAGGATATATCTGCAGAATGAATGAATAAACCTTAAAATGTGAGAAACATAGACAATGCGACAAATCGGATTGTTTGGATATGAAATATAAATGCATATGAAATTTGCATATTTCGATTAACAATTAGAATCGAGCATGTAATTAGAATCCATGAAAGATTCGCACATATGGCATGAGGCAGCATGGCTCTATTCGTAGTAAAAAAATTAATTTAGCGGCTAACAAATCGATTCGTTTTGTATACATTAGATAGAGTTTTGCATATTGTATCAAATAGAATAACATATGACTTCTATATAATCTAGAATTCGAATTTTATCGTATTTTAAAAAATTCGATTTTTATCGTAAATTATATTTTATATATATATATTGAATAATTTATATACATATTGTATTTTTTATAAAATTGTTGTTTTTTAAATATAGATACCACGCTCTTTAAGATATTGTATTGAGTAGATTGTTGAATATTGTTAATTCATATTTTATTACGAAAGTCCTATTTCGCGATTAATCGGAGAGACGCATTGCATAAGCAGCGTTAACGTTTCTGATTATACAGAGGACTTTGAAGATAGCTCTTCATTAGCTAAATGGAGTTCTTTGGATCTTCTAGCAGAAGGGGACGACACGACTATGCGAACACCGCCTGCGGCAAACGATCAAGGTTAATATATTTAAAAAAAATCTTTGTAATTTATAATTTTAATTATTGATTTTTTTTAATAATGAATGGAATATTACGTGAAATATTTTTTCTAACTATTCTTAACGATTCTTATATATAACGTTTAATATATATATATATATATAAGAAGACTGGAGTGTCCCATATTGTTTCATCTTTCTTTTAATATTTTACAGAAGATACAATATTTTCGCCTTCATATCTGCAACGTGTCGCCAGCGAGAGAAATAATAAGAGACTGCAGATCCGCACCTCGGCCAGTATTGATGTGTCGTGTCCAACATCCCCTCAGCATTCTCCTACGCATCAACCGTGCAAAATTACCGTTCTAATTATTGTAGTGCACGGTGGTAGTGTTTTAGGTAAATAATATACTTTTTTTTAGTAGAAACATGAATATTTATATTTAAATTGATTACTATATTTGAAAATAATTGAAAATCTAAATATAATTTGCATAATTTAAGCAAATTATATTAACTTTCTAATTAATGGATTTTAATATATTTTTGTAGATTCTTTATTATTTATGTAATTTTTATTATATAAACGTTAGCACTTTTATATATATGTAAGCCATTTACAGGATAAAGCGATTAACTCTATTTTTAAATTTTTTAAATGGATGGCTCATATATTGAACATATATTAAATCACGCTTCTGTATTCTAGATGCGAATGTCGATCTAACCGCGAAAAAGTCAGACATAACAACATTCCGCGGAGCTTTCGAATCCGTAATGAGGCAGCATTATCCCAGCATGGTCGGACATGTATCCATTAAATTTGTTGCCTGTCCTTCCATTTGTACCGAAGGTCTTGGAATTTTATCAAGGTAATATTGTATTTAAATGTCATTTCTATTAGAATCAGTTGTAAATTCTATTAGAATCATAATTATTATGTAACCATAATTAATGTAACTATAATAATCTTGGTGCATAGTCTGAGTCCGTACAGCTTCGATGTATCGCCTTCATGCATGGATGCGCCGCCAGTTACACATGACACCATTCCGATCGGCGCAATTCCGTTGCTGGCGAGCTCGAGTTCTGACTATCAGGATGCGGTATCGCGTGTAGTGATGGCTGCTAATCAAGTGTATCACGATTTCATCAAGAGCGAAGAGGGTAAAGGCTTCACCGGGCAGATCTGCTTCGTGGGCGACTCAGTAGGCTCTATCCTGACCTATGACGCTCTGAGCAGAACAACGCAGCATTCGAGACACAGTAGCGAGAACAGCATCCTGGAAGGAGGTAGCGGCCAACAGAGCAATGACAATGGCGGTAATGCCGAAGATGCCAAGCATCTATCCGCGCCATCTCCTAGAAGAAGGTCTTCCGGGTGAGCGACTACATCGACAATAAATTTTCTTTAAGTAATGTTAAAAAAAAATCAAACAGGAAGGAAATTGGTTTCATGATTTAACGTCGGAATATTTGATATAATAACGCGAACATAGAATTAACATCTATAATCGAAAGTGTTAATTAGTTTTCATTAAAGTACATTTATTTACAGCGACAACCCACATCATAACAAACTGGACTTCGAGGTAGGTGATTTTTTTACGTTTGGCAGTCCGCTTGCGCTGGTCCTCGCCTACAGGAAAACCGCCTCCACTGACAAAAATAGCTTCATACCCAGGCCGTTGGTCAATCAAATGTACAATCTGTTTCATCCCACGGATCCCGTGGCTGCTAGATTGGAACCTTTAATCTCGGCGAGGTTCTCGCTGATCCCGCCAGTCAATATTGCCCGATATCAAAAATATCCACTCGGCAACGGCCAACCTTATCATTTGCGTAAGTGGATATTACAATATAAGATTACAAATCAAATTGTACAAAGCGAAATTTAAATCTTTTGTGAATTTTATTTCAGTGGAAACTATCCAGACAAATCCGCAATTGTTCGCTGATGGTCTCAACATTCCGAATATTCAAATGCATTTAAGAAGACTATCCGATATATCGCTTCAAAGTACAATGTCGGGCATTATCGATAATGTTCCCTTACAAGCCGTTTCTGCCCGTAAGTAAAACATTGTTTATCGCATTACTATTTATTTACTTGCAACGTCTATTATCAATAGCAAACACTTGTTTAGAATTAAATGCAATAGTTTTTCTAAGTAAATACATTTTTCTTTTTAAGCATTGAAATGATTTAAAACGCCTATTATTATCTCGCTTCAGTGACACAAAAGTGGTGGGGCACCAAGAGACTAGACTACGCGCTCTATTGTCCAGAAGGTCTCGCTAATTTTCCTACAAATGCCTTGCCGCATCTCTTCCATGCCAGTTATTGGGAATCTTTGGATGTAATCGCGTTTATTCTGAGACAATTGGGCAGATTCGATTTGTCGCTGCTCGGTAACGAAGAAAAGGATCTTACTAGCTTCCGTCCAGGTCAACCCAGAGAGAAATGGAATAAAAAGCGTACCTCTGTTAAACTTAAGGTTTGTTCTATTATTCCAATTTAATTTAAAATTTTGCGCCATAATTATACATACATATATATATTTATTATTATTATTATACATACATATATATTTTTATATATATTTATTTATTTTAAATTGGTCTTCTCTTTACTGTATTGCTCATGATTACATTATATATTTCAGAATGTTGCTGCCAATCACAGAGCAAATGATGTCATCGTAAGGGAAGGTGCACCACAAGTATTAGTCGCTAGGTTCATGTACAGTCCTATTGATATGATAACTCTAACAGGTATAGATAAAATTAACAAAGAATAATTTTTCTTATTTAAAATTAATTTTTGCATGTGAATGTATGTGTGTATGTCATGTGAGTGTATCTAATTTATTGAAAATTTAATCTATATAAATAAAATTCAATCAAGATTTTTAATTTATTTAGTCAAATTTGCTAACGATTTATATATATATTAATAATAGTTTTAGTAATTGATTTTTACATTTAAATCGCTAAAACTACAAAACTATAAATAAAACGAGAATGACATTTTACATTTTGTTATAGGTGAAAAAGTGGATATTCATATTATGAGAGACGCTCCGGCAGGTGAATGGACGTACCTCTCCACCGAGGTAACTGACAAAAATGGTAGGATAATTTACAAAATACCAGATGACAAAACGCTAAGTTACGGGCTTTATCCAGTGAAGATGGTTGTAAGGTAATTCATATTTTTTTAAATTTCAAATAGAGACATTAATCATCAATTAATCAGAAAAATTAATATGTATAATAATTTAACAGATTAAAGGTTTGTAAATAATTGAAATTAATTAGAATTAATAAATGAAATTGATGAATATTAAACTTATTATTCTATTATGAATGAAAGTTAAATTATATATAAAATGTGAAAATTAGTGAATGTAATATATAAAAAGAAAGATAAATGCAATTTGTATAAATTAATATGTAAATCTCTTTTATTTAATTTATATTTCTTTAATGAGAAACATAAATTCTTCTAACTTCTCTTTTTGAACTAATACATTCGCAGGGGAGATCACACGTCTGTAGATTTTTTCATTGCTGTGATACCGCCGAAAACCGAATGCGTGGTTTTCAGCATAGACGGCTCTTTCGCCGCCAGCAGATCAGTGAGCGGCAAAGATCCGAAAGTCTGGGCCGGTGCTGTCGATGTTGTGAGGTAATGTATCAAAAAAATGAAGATTTTGTTGAATTTGCAATCTCTATTGAAAAAATATAAATGAACGTTGTTTAGACTAAGTTCTTTTCTATTAACACTTACAATAGGCATTGGCAAGAACTAGGTTATCTCATCATTTATATTACTGCGAGACCTGACATGCAACAGCAGACGGTAGTTTCCTGGCTGTCGCAGCATAACTTTCCTCACGGTCTCGTCTCGTTCGCCGATGGCCTGTCCAGAGATCCGCTCGCCCACAAAGCCGCCTACTTGAATAAGCTTGTGAAGGTTGATAATAGAAAATATTGACAATAGAAATAGATAATGAAATGTTCATGATCGATCAATACAATTCTCTTGATCAACGAGAATAATATTTTTAAAAACAATTTTGCTTTGAAAGCTATCAAGATTTTTTTATCAACAATTCTCTTCTTACAATTTTTGGTTCCGATTTTTTCATCTCCACGCGATTGCAATTGCTACAATTAATTGAATATGGTTGACAGGAGCATGGAATGATAATTCATCAGGCGTATGGCAGCGAGAAAGACATTAGCGTGTATACGGCGATAAATCTCAAACCGAGCCAGATTTTCGTCATCGGTAAAGCATCCAAAAAGCATCAGGCGCTGGCGACAATACTATATGATGGTTATGCCGCCCATTTGAGCACGCTACAAGCGCACGGGGGTTCACGTCCCGCTCAAGGCAACGCGCGTATGGTAATCCCCAGGGGTCAGTTTGGTTTGCCAGGACAGAATGCTTCCTTGCGTCGGCGCAGGTGAGTTTTCTGTAAATGATATATATAAATGATATATTTCGACAATTTTGAAATAAGAAAGAGAGTTTTTCCAACACTTCGCTAAAAAGAATTAAATATCTTCTTGTCGGATTTTTTATTGCTATTGTTTTGTTATGCTATGTTGTGTTGAAAGCGTTATGCATTACTGAAGTCAGTTGCACTTATATTAAATTTTCTCGATTAAACGTATCAATTATATATTATTTTTTATCTTTAACTTCTGATTATAATTTTTTTTAATGACATACTCATACAGAAGAGTTTTTTGGTTTTGAAATATATTCGCAAATAGGATACGATTTTAATAAGATACGTTTATTTTAAAAAGAATGTTATTTTTTAATAATTTAGTAGATAAATCGAGTGAATATATTTTATTTTCTTCTTACATATTACAATTTACTATTACGGGAAAAAGTATATGTGTAAGCAGAAGAGAAATTTTTTATCAATTAAATTGTGTTCAAAAACAATATTGTTTAAAACATAAGAAATCATGTGATAGAAAAACATGTAATAGAAAAGGAGCAATTAAGAGCCGACGCGGATGATAGTGCGTGAAATTTCAAAGATTGTTAATCCGCGAATTAAATCGCATTTGAAGAACATATATGCCTGTATTTTACTTGATGCATAAACCAAGATATCGATTCTCAAATCGAGAATACTATAAGACCCCCCCCCCTTTTACCTCCCTAACAATATTGTTTAAATTGAAATGCAACTGACTTTGGGAGTTATTACACAAAAAAGATGTAATTAGCGCAAAGACGAGAGGATTTATTCTATCAATTTTTTGTTGCTGGATGTTGCTTTCGAGAGTCGCTATTTCACGATGCTGCCTTATAAGGCAGATTTTTCTCTTCAATAATTTCTGTCAGCAGTGATTAAATTGTTCTCTTTTAAAAAAATATCCTATGAATTATCAATTCAATTGTAAAAATTTGAGAAGTTATCCGATGCGTTCGTTTCTTTTAATTTCATCAATTTTTTCGGAAGTCAATTGAAATTTGTTTAATATTACTATTAAAGAAAAATAGATGCAACTTACGAATGACGTTAGATTTTTTTTAGCATTTACTGTTAGCTTTGCTTGATGTATACTATTTTTCTCTTTTTTCTCTCTTGTTTTCATTTATCGCAGTTAGACAAGAAAAAAGGGTCGAAAAACGATACCCTGGGTGGCGCACTGAATTGTCAAGTGATAAATGCATGCGTGCGTGCGTGTGTGTATGTGTGTGTGTGAAAACGAGCACCGGCTATGTTCCAGTAACGACACAGCGGTGAACTCCCCGGCGCGCAACAATGTCTACTTAAAGCGGAAAATCTACCTTACTCACATCTAACACACGCCTATAATCTGCGTACAATTTATTTACTCACATTGGTAACTATCTACAACCGTCTACTGCTCTTTCTCTTCACCGTAGGCGCCGATTCAATTTCAACCACTTCAATGACAAATGATTAATTACCGTAATCATTCTCTAATTTTTAAATCGACAATCAATTAAATGAATATCATGTGTCATTTGTTTGAGTAAATATTTTGCTTAAATTTGTAAATTCAATTTTAAAAAAAGCAGAAATCAGCGCCTACATACTCCGCTTTTCCTTCAAATTTTTCGCAGCACGATCTTTATTGGTAGAAGGATTATATATAAAATTACGATTAGGCCTATGCCGTCATTTTTTTACACGCGAAAATGTATACGTAATAAGAAAATTAATACGATCATTTCTCTTTATTTGTTTAAAAAAAATTGCATTTTTCTTACCATTTTAAAATCGTGGAGCTTCTCTCATTTTTCCTATTTTTCTCAAGAAGTACTCCTTGAGATTTATTCTAGTTAATACATAAAAGAATCAACATAAAAGCGAAATTTATTTAAGATTGTAAGATGTATAACGCGTATTAATACATGAGATATATAAAAAAATGAGAAAAATAATTAAATTATAGAATATTCTCTCTTTCAATTGTGTAAAATTGATATGATTGTCATAATTATCGATTTAAATCAATGTTTCCAATGTTTATCACATCAACGTTTATCACATATAATTATTAATGCTGCTACTTTTGTTCTTCTTTAAAAAAAAATCTTTCTGCTATTAACGCTCGCTGCACCGTCCTCACGCTATTCTAAGTCAGTTAAAGCGAAATGGGCCGACTGAATTTCCCTGACCAGTCTCTTGATTGCAGGTACCTGTTATGAGGGATATGTCGCGTTGTCAGCGTAGTTAAATATCGCACTCTGTCTCTCTATCTCTCACTTGGCGAAAGCGACTGTTGTCGTAATCCTACGCTCAAACTTATTGTTTGTATCTATCGGCTAGTGCATACATGTCCAGGATTTGTGGCTAATATGACTGCTCTATGACCGCCTCTCTATAGATACGCCCGGGAAATAGAGAAATCGTTTTCGTTATCCTCCCGAAACGAATCGGTCTCACTTTAACGACGAAGGTAAACCGTCGTCTCACGTTTCCGCCTGAAATTTGTTAGATGAGTGTTTTGTGTTACTATGAAATAATGCTAGATCTACCACTTAAATCGTTTTATATCTTCCTATACACTAAGAATTCAAATATTTTAATCGTCATTTAATTTGGGGATTCACAACTTATAAAGATGATGCATAATTAAATTTTAATAAAATAATTAATGGTCTTTAGATTTATTTAATTTGTTTTTCAATTTATGATTTACAATAAATTAAATTTTAAGTAAATTTTAATTCATACTTTCAAATTTATGACTATTTTAATTGAATATATTTGCTTGATTTAATTTCATTAATATGATCCAAACATGAACATTTTAATTATAATGTGTAATATCAATCGGTATTTAAAATATTAATTAGAATATATATGTATGATTTGTGATTTTTAAAAAATATAATATATTAGAATTTACAACTTTTTGTCTCTTTTCTGTTATTTAAAAAAGAATTTACAAATTGAAAATTTTATATATTTTATATATGTATAAAAAAATAATTAGTTGTGTTATATATGTATAAAAAAATTATAAGTTGTGAGTTTTCAAAATAATTATTTCTAATTGATTAAGAAATAAAAAAATTATTTCTGCATGTATAATTATTTTTTTAAAGAAATTTATAAAAAACTTTAATCATTATTTTACAAAATTTACAATCAAATATATGCCTGATATCAGTAGAAATTAATTAAATGAAAAAAAGAGATAATGGAATGATCTCAATCCGATAAATAATTTCTTTGGTGGTAGATCAGGCTGAAGATTGTTGCTTGTCCGTAAACGGACCATACAGCAGCACGAACAAGGATATGCCATAGATTTACAAGAGATGTGTACACCATGCACGATTAATACGTTACATGAATGTTGAAATTTCGAGAACTCACGCACATACATACTGTGTGTGATCTCCATTAAAAACGAAAACACTGGCAAGTCCCTTTTCATCCCTGATCATGCATTCGCTCCGTTATGTGCCCATATCATAATACATACGCGTGCGTTATTAAAATAAATTTCCGAGCGGTTCTGGTTCGTTCATCAGCATTGCATTTCGTAGGTGACGGTATAACAAGATGAATGATTGTGAACGTTAATGAGAGAAAGCAGTATCAAGGATTACATACCGAAAATGTAAGATAGATTTTAGGCCTAACTCTGTTAAGGCTTTTCTTAAGACGTGCTTTGTAGAATCGATCAATTCATTAGAATTCATTCCGCGTGAATTAATCGATTCATTTTACAGTTGCCTCGCTCTTTTCGCTCTTATATCTACTTATGGTTCTCTTCGTAGTACTGGCAGTAAGCGTAAATGTATTAAAAGTCGAAAAGATATTTAATATGCATCGATTATATTTCTTTCAATATATGTATGATCTTGTTTTAGTAAATTGTTCCAGATGCCGAAAAATGTAATTCCGTGCGATTACAAGTAAACCTGCATAAAATAATTTATAATTATATTTTGAGATATAAAATCTATAAAATTATGAATTTTTTATTTTACAATCAAAGGTATCTGCCAGAGCTATTTAGGATTGAATAACGAATAAGCTTGGACAGAATTCAGATGCGTTTCGCTTAATTGAGTGCTTTATAATGCCACGATTTCTTTCTTCTCCCCTTCCTTCCGCTCTGTCATTTTCAAGAACAATGAATAATAAATAATCGTCTCGCTGTCTCATCTATAGGGCGGACAGGTGTCTTCCGTCTACATCTGATTCATTATCCATTAACGCTTCGGATGTTACGTCACGCTTTCCACAGCAGTACAAATGTAAAACACCGCTTTCCCCATTGTGCTGTTCTCATTCATCCGCTTTCAATGGCGATCTGTGTCCACTTCACTCGCAAGCGAGTTAAACTTCAATACGAAGCGCACTATTCTTTATGGGATGCATGGCAAAATATATGAAAAGCATAGAGTGCTCTTGATCGAATTTTCAGATAACATTTCAATAAATATGTCAAATACTGAAGGTGAAAAAGAAATAAGTTTAAAAAGATTTTATTTTCTTTCTTTCTCTCTTTCTCTCTCTTTCTCTCTCTTTCTTTCTCGATCAACCTCATATTATCTTATCATATTTAATTTCTGGGTTTAATTGCTCAAACATTTAACTTGAAAAGATTAAAATATATCGTGAAAAAAAATTTTCGATGAAATTTTTAATGGAAAGAAAGGAAACTTTTAAATATCCAAAAAATTTTCGATGAAATTTTTAATGGAAAGAAAGGAAACTTTTAAATATCCAAAAAATTTTCGATGAAATTTTTAATGGAAAGAAAGGAAACTTTTAAATATCCAAGAGAGATACGTCTTTTCATATTTTTTCTTGTATCTTGTAAATATCTATTGATATCATTTGTATATAGGATGTCGAAAAAATATGTGTTTTAGTTACAATAATAACAACAGAAATGAATAATGTGCATTGATAGCAAATCATTAATTGTTTTCTAGCTTAATATTTATTAATATTAATTTTATAATTCTAATCTATTAAAAGAAGGATAAATGCATTATCGTGCTTTCATCCTGATGTAATAAGCAAATACGAAAGATACATCACTGCTGCTTATTGCACAATACGTCGCACGATATAGAAACGGATTGCGTAATATATTGCTCGATAATAAAAGCATAGTTAGAAATTTTAAATTATTTAAATTTAATTTGTAATTATTTCTTAATTAATCTGTAAGTAGATATCTTTTCTCCATTATATATATATATATATATATATATATATATATATATATATATAATATTTATTCATTATCGATATTTTCCATATTTTCTTCATTATTGATATTTGTGTCATTTTTATTATGTACACGTAATTTTTTGTTTAATCCGTAATTGGAGAAGCTTCTATTTCTTACGAAATTAATTTACAATCCGTTTCTGTCGCACACAATCAATAATTAGACATGCGAATAGTTTCAAGAATGCAATACAAAATTTTTAACAATCATCTAATAATCGTATTACACGTACTGTCAATCGCGCTGATTCGAATGACAATACGTCGAAAAAAAATGCGCATGGAAACAATAAAGTTATCGAGATAACTATGGGAATTCGATGCTTGAACCTTTTTTCTTCCTAATACGTTCTTAAGTTTCTAACAGAGAAACATCGAAAATAAATAATTATTATACATAATTATTAAACATCGAAAATAAATAATTATTATAAATAATTATACTATCTTCTATGTGCATAATTAATCATAAAATTTATTATAAAAAAATAATATTATGCATATATTAATATAATATATAATGTATTGATCAAGGAATATACTCTAAGTATATTCTATCTTTGAAAATAAATTTTTTGAAATGAAATCGAGCTCTCTCGTATCGGGAAGAATTGATGTTCTTCGGTTATCTCGAGGAGGAAGTTTGTGATAGTTTATTAATTAAATTATATTGTAACAGCTCTTTTAGGACGGCGAAGCGTGCGATCTCGCAGCCACCCTTGGGCAAGACGCCCTTCCCGTTGGAACGATCCACGAGCGTGGGTCCAGGATCGAGCAACATTCATCGATCGGCGGCGACTGAGAAACTTTGACGATTCGCGCGCTGCCGCTCGTTCTTCGAGTCCCGGCGGTAGCTTCCCGCGAAGGAAGGACACGATTCTCGGTTCCGTATCCTCCTTTATTCCGTTCCCTCATTTCGTCGGGATCTTTACTCCAAGTAATATAGATCTTATATAGATCTTTACGCCCTCTCGTTAATCTCGTGAAGATTGTGTGTGATCTTCTGATTATATATATTCTTCTTTTTACTCTTCTCTGTTCTTTATAGATCTTCGATAACACAGGCGTTATTGCTCCATCTTTCGTGATATCTTCCTCCTATCATAAGTCCTTGATCTAGAATTTCGTAAATTTATGTATATATTCTATATATAACGATAAGAATATTCTCTATACGCTTTTATTATAGATTTTTATTCTTCTTTTTGATCTTAAATAGTTTTAATTTTACGCGAATCTTTTTTGATGTCATAAAATTGTACTTATTCCTTTTTAATTTTACTTATTATTTTTAGAATTTTAGTTATTCCTTACAGATCCGAGAAATTAAATATGGAATATTCTTCAATTCGATTTTGTAATCTCTTTTACATAGATTCCAAATTCTGTATTGTGTAGATTTTTAGTTTCAAATTAATTCTTGTAGAGCTCCTATTATATGACTTTTATTATACGGGACTAGCAAATCTCTCGTATTATTCCAATAAATAAAATTTTACTTATATATATATTTTTTTTTGTATATCATATCATTTTTATACTACAATTTATCGCAATAATCTCATTTTACACTTATTTATGGAACAAAAATATTTATTTATTTCAAATATGTATTTTTTAAATTTTCTTTTTAATATAATAGTGAAAAATAAGAATAGATATAAGTTAAAATAATAGAATTTTATTTAGTGGAATAATGCGGTGAGAAAATAACTTGTTGAAACTGTTACCTGAGTCCCCCTGTTGTTATTAAGAAGACGTAATGTAATGTTATCTGTGTGACACACACCGAGACACGCTTAGATGTAATTAGCATTAAGATCTGTTAGTATTCTATTCATTGCCAAAGACATTATAAAGAAATGTAATACGTAATGCTCTGCAAGGTTCGCGCCAACTTCTTTCAGGGCTCTTTTCTCCTCGCGCGAAATATATATCAAAAAAAGACAATTTTAAAATATGAGAATGTAACACATTGATTGATAGATGGTACTTGTTATACGCGTGCGATGTTTTATCCGTTTGACTTCACAGTTTTATTTATAGCATCAAGAAGATTATAGTATGTCATAATATTAAATATTATTTATCCGTGATGCAGACTGAGAGAGTGTATTTTATTAAATCGACTGAGGTAAATATTTATATCGAAGATAATAATTAAGACGCAATATTTTTGTAATGGTAATTTGAAAATATATGATTATTTATAATCAGAAGTGAGATGATATATATAATGCGAATATAATAATATTGATTTGAGAAAGAGAAAGATTTTTCTATATTACTGTCTCTATAAGATAAATATAAATGAGTTTTCATTCAATCCTTTGCAGAACAATAAATTTTTGAAAATAACGCGTATGTCGACAAGTATTTGTGCATTTAATCGGAAGGATGGAAGATGTATCATTCATTTATAAGACGAAGCATTGACATTAGACGCGCGTGCGACAAGCGGTACAAAGCTATTTCCCTTATACTTATTACATAGTCGCATAAAGTTGTAGCTGGCGATGTAAATAATATTAGATGCTATGTAAATAACCAATGTTATTCGTGAATAACGCTAGGGAAAGTCGTGAAATGTCATTTACGTGATTAGCTGTTAGGTGCTTCGTCAAGGAAAGTGATATGATAAACAACTTGGAACTGAAATGAATCGATGCCTCTGATTTCTGACTATATAAAATTCCACATTTCTATTCATCTTATGCCTGTAAATTCTTCCGCATTGTACTTGCAGAAAGAAAGAAAAGGTTTATTTGTCTCAGCTTCGATCGCATCGACGATGGCTAGAAATGGGCTCGATCAATATGATCCAATATGTTTCTCATTAAACTTAAATCTATTATAATTAACGTTACGAAATGATAAATTCTTTCTTATGAGCTCGATTCCACGTACACGGTGTCCCATAAGTCTTGCGTCAATGATGAAATTTTTGCTGTCTAAAATTATTTTGATTTCTTCCTTAGAAAAGAAATTTCACTGACGATTTTATTTTATTTCCACTCAAAATTGCAGGTATATAATTAATTTTTAATCTAGATCTCTAGATCATCAAATCTTAAATCATTATATTATTTTTGAAAATATATAATTTTAATTTAAAGAAAAATAATTATATTATCTAAGGTTATTATTGTTATTAAATCTCGAGAGAGGAAGAGATAAATAAATATAAATTCTGTTGCGAAAAATATTTACACTTTTCAAATTACGTATGAATATTAAAGTAAAAGTAGATAAGAGACAAGATAACTTTGTGCCAATGATCGGGACATCCTGTAGAACAAAATCGAGCGTGGAGATTGATTTGTTGCCGTCTTATGTCACATTCGACGATCTTCTCGGATCATATTAATCTCCCGATTTTGAAGGAAGCATTACGTATTGCTCAAACTGCTATACTAGTTGTGGTGCTTGCATTACGCAAGTCAACATTATCATTAAACATTGACTGTTTGTATTGTTGTAATATGGCATGGAATAGTTCTATATATACATTATATATATATACAAACGTTTACATCTAAAAATATAAAAGAGAATAATACACACATGTATACAACAAGTTACGAATTTGGAAATATACACGAATGTATGTGTATATGTAGTACGCGTAATACGTATGTATATATGTATTCTTTTACAGGGTGTCCGTAAAATCCACGTGTCGGAAAGAAATACGTTTAATTTCCCATTTTAATTCAATCTGTCGTGTGTCGCGAATGACAAATTTAAAGACAATCTCGTTAGCAAAGAAATCTTTCAAGATTCTGACTTAAATAGATTATTATCGTCAATGATGAGAATAGAAAACAAAAAGAGAGAAAATCTTAATTTAAGATTGCATTGACATTTCTTTTGCAATGATGAATGCTCTGATTGTGAAAGATTTTTTTGCAATAATGAATGCTCTGATTGAGATCGACTATTCTTTTCTATATGAAATTGAGTAATTAAAGATAATTATCATAATCGGATTATTAAGGTCAATTACAAGCAAAATTAATGCACCACTTAACTAACTAGTTTTCATAATCTAACTAGTCTTTCGTAATCAGATTTCATCATTATTATATAATCATTATTATATTATAAAATTAAATTATAAATTATATTATATTATAAAAGCTCATAAAGCTAAACAATAATGATCACATTTGATTGTGAAAGAAAACTAGTTCGCCAAATATAATTAAATATTACCCGGTAATTATATCTAATTTAAAAAGTATATATCTATGTTATTGTCAACGCGATAAAGATAAATCTAAAGCTAGGCGAAAGAAAAAATGAATTTCACTCGCTTATTAAATTAAAACACTTGTACAAAGACGCGTAATTTGATGGACACTCTGTAAAGATAGGTGAGCGACTGCAAAAGATATTTTACTTATACATTATATATAGAAGGAAATGCGTGCACGCGCGCGCGCGAACGAAATCACTGTGTGTACCGATCGATGTAATGAGAATTATATTTTTATTAGAGTACACATAAAAGTGATGCGATACTGTAATAATAAAAACTAACTGGAGATCATTGTTTTGTATTACGCGCTCTCGCTCTAGTGTGTAACAATTGTTTTATATATACATATATGTATATAATAATGTTGAGACGAGCGGTTCCGTGAAATTTCTTTGCCGCAACAGGAGACGTCTCGTTTCCTTTTCTAATCGAAGGGAGATGAGGGAAAGAGGAACTCTTAGCGGATAACACTGTATTCCACTTCCTTCATTGGAGACATTAATAAATGATAAGTCATTGTGGTTTAAATATCCATTTTCTCCTTTTGTTGTTATTACTATATTATTTGTAAATTTCACATTTTACTGATCTTTTTATACTTTTGAAGCAGAAATCTCCTCAAGATCTTTGGAAGACCTATAAAATAAAAATGATAAATAAATATATGTCATAAGATTCATCAATATCAAGATTCATCAATTTTTTATAAATCATGTATTATACTCAAATTATCAAATTAGCTAAATGTAAATTATCAGTTAAGTAAATAATGTTCAAATTCTCGAATTATTGAGTAAATATATGTAATATAACTTCCAAGATATTTAACATATAAATTTCTGTAAATGTTCAAATCGGTAAACAAAAGCAGGGGATTTTTAAGAACATTTAAAAATTTCGAAGATATATATCGAATTTATAAATATGATAAATCGCGGTGAAAGTAGTGTAACTTTTTGTTGCGGCTGGAAAGATGTTAGAGATGTTTCGAAGCATTGAATTAGCCAATCAGAATAAAGAAATTTTTATTCTTTTTATTCTGATTGGCCAATCGAGCGCGTCGAAGCATTTCTGATGATCGTAGTCGCCTAATTGACCAATCGGAATAAAGAAATCTTTGCTCTTTTGTCCTGTTGAGTCAATTAAATATCCCTCTAACTGGATAGAATTTTAGAATACACTCCTAATCGAGAATTTGTCACGTCCAGGGAGAAGATTGAGAGATGTCATGAGCCGATATTCATAGTTCGATCTTATATTTGAGATCGTCTTGAAATGCTACGCAGCTATTTGATTGATCGAATGAGGTCTTAAGTCAACCTCGGACCAGACTTAAGACGATCTTAAATATAAGATCGGACTATGAATACCGGCCCGCTTTTAGGTGATCCCTGGAAGCGATACTCCCTCTGTGAACATTAAAAACGTGGACATGAACTACAAAGCTAATGTCCACAAATGTTCTCAAAGGATAACGTATATGTCTCTCTGATAATATAAATAATATAAATAAAAATATAAATAATTTAATTAATAATAATTTATTATATAAAAATATTAGTATGTTCTCTCTTTTTACGCTATTATTTATTTATTTATTTATGTGTCTTCGTTTTCTTCTCAACATCATTTATTTATTTATTTAGCTCGCTATAAGTCAATCTTTTCTCTAGCGAAAATAAAATATTGAAGTGTAAGTCGAATGTAAGGAAAGAGTAACAGAAGTATAAAGGAAGCTTTTAAGAAGCGTAAATTGAAACGCCGAAGCGTAAACGAAGCGTTTAACGCTTTATATATATATATATATATATATATATATATATATATATATATATATAAAACGTTCTCTCTCTCTCTCTCTCTCTCTCTCTCTATATATATATATATATATATATATATATATATATATATTTATTAA